AAAAAAAAAAAAAAAAAAAAAAAAAAAAAAAAAAAAGCTAGACACCGTTGGCCATGGAAGGTGAAGGAAATAGGACTACCAATGCCTGGAAAGCCTGAGGGAGCTGATTCTTTGCAGGTTGTTCTTTGCAACTGCAATCTTGCCCCCAGAGCTAAATCCCATGCTAGGCTGCCTAAAGTAAACCAGCCTATGGGAACATTTTGCTCACTTAATGAATTAAAAACCTAGCCAAAAAAGAAGTGGTGCAAGCCCCTTTCTGTGTTACAGCCTGGGTGAGAAAGCAGCTCCTTCTGCCTCCTGAAGCAGGGCGCATGCTGACTTGTGCTTACCTTTTAAAAACAATTAAAGCCAGGAGCGGCACGGCGCAAGGCAGTTCCAACACGTGTGTCACCGCATGCATGTCTGCTTCGCCATCAGCATGTATGGCTCATCATCTGTCTGCTCTGAACAATAACTGTTAGGTTAGCAGCCTTTTCACTTGTAAATGTAAATATTGTATCTAGAACACAATATTTGAAATACAAAATACAGTGTTATTAAGACAGCACTCACACATCAATTCTTGTGTGACTATAATTTGTGAAATGCCTTAGGAGGGGCTTATAAAGAAAGTATAAGGTGTTATTATGAAATACATTTTAACCAAATGCACAGAAATGCCTCATTCCTATTGAAATCAATAGCAAAACTCCCACTGATTTCAGTGGGGAAAAAAGAGGAGACTCTTGGAAATCGCTGTGTTACACCGAGCAATACATTACAGCAGATTTCAGTCTTCATAAGCACTACAGCTCTAGAAGAAAGGGGTTGAAGAATGGGTGTTGGAGGCTGTTCAGAACACGCTGAAGGTTTTCGTTTCCCATTTAGGGGGCTGGCAGCAGTGGCTGGGCAGGCAGCACGTCCCCACGCAGCCGCGCTCCAAGGCCGCCTGGGCGCTGGGGCTGCTCCAGGGCCTCGCCTGGCCCCCGGCGAGCAAGGGGAGCTGGCACGGGTGCTCAGGCGTGGGAGCCCTCGTGTGCTCATGCCCTCACCCCAGCCCACCCTGGGGAAAGGCTCCTGACGGGGCTGTGGACACGCCAGAGCCCCCGGCACGCGCGGCGGCAGCTCTCCAAGGCAGGCAACGCTCTGGGGACTAAATGCCCCAACTTCTTCCCGATGTGCAGCCAGCCAGGGACTTTTCCCCGCCGACCTCCTTCCACAGGGCACAACAACAAGCCAGTGAGCCAGAAATGTCTCCTCTCCGCTGCGGCTAGCTAGCCTGTCATCAAAATAAGCTCAAGGTTCATCCGCACACGCAACCGCTTTATAGCATTGCTGCAGAGGTGCGGCGCGGTGAAAGGCTGCAGCCCGCAGCACAGCCTGCCCTGAAAAAAAGCTTCAGAAGGGGTGTACAGGGCTGGTGATGCCTCGATTGAGGCCACCAGTGGCTGGACCACGGGCGGTGGAGCCGCACGGCCAGGAAAACCCAGGAAGAGCTACAGGGAGCTGCATCTGCCCGCGGCTCGGCACCTGCAGAAACAGCAACCACGGCACAAAAGCTCTCGGGGAAGGGAGGGATGGGAAGCTCATTTCCATTCCTGGTTGAGCAGAAGTTGGCATTTAGATAGCAAACTACATTAGTAGGTATAAACACACTAAGTGACTATATAAATGCTGGGTTTGTACCTGTAATTAATTGTTCCCAGAATCGATTTAGCTATGCGAGAAGGGACCTGCCTGTTGTGGTGTTTAATGCGATCTAGCCGTATCTTATAAATATATAATCTGCCTGTGCATGTCTGATAAAAATACGTATAAATTTTTTAAAAATCCATGCTTCATTAATATTTGCCAATGGATGGCTTCCAGATAATTAAAACTACTTAATGCTGGTATAACAAATATACTTACAACTGACCGGTATCAATTAAAAAGAAAGATTTTAATCTATTGGTTTTGCACATTTTGGCTTGCTTTGGTCTCTTGATTTTATTATCTATCATCTCGTGCTTTGAGGGAAGCTGCTCTTTGTCCCTAAAGCATTCAAAGTTTACGTGCATTTAATCTTGTCTGCAGCACTGTGACTACCTCAGCACCACAACTCTTACTCCAAGTTTACAGTGAAGTGTTATCTGCAGTGACAAATATGCCGAAAGGAAAACATAACCAGCCTAGATAGTATCTTTGCTTTACAAAGGCTGCTTGTGATGCCTGTGCTTTGACTCAAAACTCCCCGCGCATTGGCTTTTTAATCATGAGATCCCTTTTTCAGCACAGCTTCGCAAGTAACAACTGCACCACAATGAGCCAGCTTCATAGATATGGGAATGTTTAGATTTCCCTGCCAGTGACTAAAGGCCTTTAGCTTTCACTAGCCAGTCCCAGCTCGCATTGTTGTTGCCTGTTGATTTGTCTTCTCTCATTATTCCTTGACATGCAGCTCTCCACCCACGCCCACACTAACAACCCTCACACAAAGCGCATTGAGGTATTAACCAGGTTACAAGTTCAATGGAAAATTACACTAAGATTGTGCTGTGTGGCAATATAAAGGGATGGTATTCACTCTCCCAAAGAGCCTGTTAAAAACACAGCTGGGTTGGGGTTTGGGTTTTTTTTTTTCTTTTTAAGCATCCTAACAAAAACAATTTTTAGAAGTCAGGAATGTATATTTGTGTGTATATGCATCTATACCTACTTTATGTATAATTACAAAAGATAGACACGGGCATGCATCGTGTCTCCACCACTGACTGGCACGATGCAAACTCCCCGCTGGAAATTCTGCTGGATTCTGGAGTTCATTTAGAGCATCCCCAGAAACCCAAGCTAAATAAACAACCTCCTCCTGCTCTCAGCTGCAATTAGATACGTGAACCTATCTTCTTTTTGTTAGCCCAAATTACAGGCTGGTGGAAGGGATGAAAGTCTATAAAAACGTTTCTTAAGAATCCCTCCTTATTGAAAAACTGAAAATAAATGCAAAATAAAACTTAACGAGATTAACCTAACACAGTAACAAAATTTGCAACACCACACTATAAGGTTAAAAAGAAAATAGTATAATAAAGGAAATACAAAGGCTTTGGCATGGTTTTTACAATCAACAATGGTTAATTTTGATATGTAGTTGTGAACAACTTCAAAACACTTAAGTTTAAAACTCTTGCAAGCACTTTTAATTGATTAGGAATGAATTCTAGATGCACAAAAATGATTGGACTGTGAACAGTAGTACAACTATATCTAAGAACAATTAACTCTTGCCGACCAAAAAGAAACGTATGATGCATGAAAATGTGTATAAAACATCTATAGAATATTCTTGTCAAATATAAATGAAATTAACTTTATTATAGAAATCATTCTGGGAGATTTCTAGGGAAGACAAATACTTACATTTCGACATAAAACAAATTGGATTATATCGAAGACACAATCTACCTTTTATCTATCAAACTCTTTTCTTCATCGAAGTTCTCTCTTAACCCCTGTTTGCACATAGCTTCAGCCGTTAACAACCTTTGGAAATACCAACAGATATTTTTCTTACATAAATCTAGTGCGTATTGTTCCAGGTTTAATTATATGCAATGGAATGATACAAACTTGGAACATCAATCCATAATCTATGAACAGATTGGTAGAAGTATTCGATATATCTTGATAAAACTCTTAAATTCGTGGCAAAGCTTGTTGATCATGGCTTCTTTTTTTTTTTTCCTTTTCTTTTTTTTTTTTTTAAAACAACTTCATGACCAACACAGATCAAACATCCATCCAGTCTACATTGTCCTTTTTTTTTTTTTTCATTATAACATACAAATGCCCATTTACAAATAATACACCAAAATGAATAAAAGTTTGGATACCAAAATGAAGATTTGTTCCAACTGATATAATGCCTTCAGTGTACAAAGGTCCATATGAAAGTCTTTTCCATGTGTTACAGCGTAGGGCACAGTTGCAGTACAGAAGTACTCTGAGAGCCATTCTTCCTTTATAAAATACTGCTGAACATCCAACTGTTGTCCATATAGTCATTTATGGAATTAACACATGTTTTACTGTAACCTTGGCCAGTATTGAGACATATCGGGTTCACTGCCAGGAACTTGAACTGGAACTGACACTCCAGGGGAAATGAGACCTGAAAATTGAGGGTGAAAATGGATATTTTAGTATTTCTATACATAGCACAATTTTTGCTTTACAGTTTCACAGGTTTGTGCTTGTATTCGAGCACGTATTAACTCTTGCTATCTACCAGCCTGCAGAATCAGGTGGGGAGGAGGGGGGGGG